CAGGTAGCCTGGTGGTTGTTGGGCCAGTTAGTCAAAGAGCCAAAGCACCCCCCTCCCCCTGCCTTTTACTGAAAGAAACCAAGTCTAGAATGCTGTGGCTGCCTAGCTACAGCCACTGAGGGCTTCTGTTTATTAAAGCTACAGGGGTTCCTGCTATCATTTTAAAAAAAACCCAATTTTTATTTATTAGATTTCATTTTTTCCCTTCCAAACCTGGGACATTTTTCAGGTTTGTAGAAAGATCTGTCTTGTCTGTTCCTGGCTCCAGTTATTGGATTTAAGTAGCCTCAGATCTGGCCAACTTGGCTATTAGAATATACAAGCAGGGACCCACAGGGAACTAGCAGGGAGGGGATATCCTGTTTCCCTTGCTTTTAATGCATCTCCCCCACCCCTTTTCTGGCAGAAATCACCTCTTTCTTTGTGTCCACAACCTCTGCCTTTCAACTCCTCCTCTGAAGACTGCTTGGCATGCAGGGGGCAACAAAAACTCCCACACCCTCCCCATCTCCAGCTTTGCCGGAATGCAACTACTCCTGTGCTCCCCCCAGCCTCTATCTTTGTCAGGTCAGCAGGGGGCCTTCAACAGCTCCTGTGCTCACTCCACCTGCATCTTTGCCAGCTTGGTAAGGAGGGGGAGTTGTGAGCACAGGGGCAGTGACTCTTCCCCCCCACACACACACTTATATCTTTGCCAGCTGGCTGGGAGTAGTGATGACTCCCATGCATCATTCCTCCAGTCCTCTCCAGTTCTGCTACCTCAGTTGCTAGAGGTGAGTGGGTGAGAACAATTGCTCCTTCTCCCACCCTCCTCCTGTTCACATGGCAAGAAGTACTGTAGCTGCTCTTCAAGGCCACCGTGGCTGGGCCCAGTGTGAATCCTGAATTCTTCCACTGCAGAGGAGCTCTTGCCACTGCAGAGGAGCTCCAGCTGGGCCTGGAGTGGCTCCTGGACCCCACCAACTCCAGGTCTGCAGCAGTTCCAGGAGAGAGGAGGTAAGTCTGTTGTCTGTACATGAGAGGACCATGCATGAACAAACAGTTCCAACTGCCTGTCAAGGGTTGGAAGGGGCGCGGAGTCCTTAAAGCCATAGGGGAGGCTTGCTTAGCAGGATTTCCTTAGCGCTGCTGCTAGCCCAGTCTCCCTGATGCCTTTAAACACAATCCTCCCCCCCTTACACCAGACAGGTGGGTGTTTGTCATGTGTAGGAGCAGGGTCAGGGTACTTTTAATCCATCAGGGAGGCTGCCCCAGCAGGATCACCTGACAGACAACTGCATGTCAGATGGAGAGATGGAGGAGGGTGTGTGAGAGTGTGTCTAAAGCCACTGGGGAGGCTGGTCCAGCAGCATTGCTAAGGTGTTTCTGTTCAGGCAGCCTCCCTGATGCATTAAAGTACCCTGGTCCTGCTCCTACACCTGACAGATACCTGCCTGTCTGGTGCTGGGGGGGAGTGTGTTTAAAGGCATCGGTGAGGCTGGGCCAGTCTTGCAAGCCATTGTGGAGTCTAGGTTGGCTCCCTGATGGCTTTAAGCACCCTGCAACCGCTGCTGCACCTGACAGAAAACCGCCTGTCAGGTGTAGGAGGTGGGGGGCATGTTTGAAGCCATGGGGAGGCTGGGCTAGCAGCGTTACTGCACCTCACAGGTGGTTGGCCATTCCTGATTTCCTCAGCTGTCATTAGCTCTCTGTAATTGTTTGTTTTTTAACCTCAGAACACTGAGTTCTGTAGCTGACCAGTCAGTGAGTGTGGGGTGCAAGGAGGCAGCAGCCTGGCAGCCACATACGAAGCAATGGAGGGGAGCACATTTTACCCCTTTTGACCCCATTAGGGGTTGAATTTCTAAAAATCGCTTCTTAGTGAGCATCTACATCATGGTAGGAGTGCTGTCCCTGAATTTCGTGTTTCTAGGTCCAGGGGTTTGGCCTGGGCGTTGATTTTATGGTGAGGGGACTTTCTTTTAGATAGATAGATAGATAGATAGATAGATAGATAGATAGATAGATAGATAGATAGATAGATAGATAGATGAAGATAGTGGCTTTCACCAGCTTTTCCTGGTTAGCCTGCCTGTGGTCTTTCCTGGACTGAAAAGATCTGGCCTCCATGGTGCATGCACTGGTAACATCTAAGTTAAATTATGGTATATGTAGGTCTACCCTTGAAAAGTGTTCAGAAAATTCAGCTGGCACAGATTGCTGCAGCCAGAATGCTGAGTGAAATGGTTGATAGGGACCATCACACTCCAGTTTTGTTTCTGTTTATTTATTTATTTATTATTCTGAGTCCTAGTTTGTTTCTGGGCCCTATTCAAAGTGTAGGTGGTGACCTTTAAAGACCTGTACAGTTGGGACTGGCATACTTTAGGGACCACCTACCAGCCACTATTAGTTATCATCTGAGGCCCTGCGTTCTTGTTTGTAGCTCCCTCCCAGGTATATTCATTTATTACTGTCTTCTGGTTGAAGGTAAAGAGTTTCTTTGTTTCATCTGGAATCCCCTCAGCAATCTCTCCTTCCTGTTCTATGTTTTAATTGTTTGCTGTGTGTTTTTATATATGTATTTTACTTTTGGTTTAATTGTTAATTTTTTTAATTGTTAGCTGCCTTGGTGGCCTTGATTGGGAAGGAAAGTGGCATATAAATTGTATAAATAAATAAATTAAAATTATATAAACCTCAATTAACTCACTTCAACAACTGAAACTTTCAGGGCAATAATCTATATGATGCACAAAACAAATGCATGTGTACAGTGAGGTAGTGCTTTAGAAATTCCATTATTTAATTTTGTATCTGAATAATCACTGCTCATGGAAGTTTGTAGTAACTTCTTATATCTAGGTGGGCCATTTCTTGTAATCTTCATAGGCCTAAAGCAGTTTAAGACCTTTATTCCTTATGATGTCTTTGAAACATGTGATTGGGATTAATACATTTAAAAGTAATCAGAGATGGTTTCTTTGAAACTTTGATTGTTGAACTACTTATATTTCGGTTGGATTCATTCTGTTCAGATCATTGTCAGTATACGAAATGGAAAGAAAGGGTGGGGGAACAAGAATTGCTTTATTTGCATGGGATTTAATAGTTTTACTGTGTTTTGAAATTAGTTATGATTATGTATCTAAAAAGTATATGTGACATTTTCAATCATTTATAGCCTAGCCAGTAGTTTAATATAAAATGGCTTTTTAGGTTATCTTCTTGTCATACAATGAATAAGTTCTTCACCTGGAATAAATCCATGTTTTTCCGCTGTTGGTAGTGGAAACGTGACTTTGTCCAAAGTCAGCAAAAGTCATAATAGAAATCCAGAGAGTAGGATTTTATTTACTGTACAGCAGGATTTGTCACACCCTGAACACTCCCTGTTTGAATTGCTGCCTTCGGGTAGAAGTAGGGCTGCCAAATGTGGGCGGGGGGCGGGGAATCCCCTGCTTTGAAGCCCCGATTTCCGACATGGCGGAATCGGGGCCCGGGGGAACCCCGGCGTGCGCATCACTAGCAAGTGACGTGGGCACGCCGGGCATGCGGGGGGCGGGGCCACGGCCATACAAGGGAAAACTCTATGGTTGTCCCTTGTATGGCCATGGCCCCGCCCCCAGCGTGCCTACGTCACTTCCGGGTGACGTGCACGCGGCGCGCGCGCACACATCCCTGACGCTGGCCAGGAGCCCCCTGCTCCCGGCGAAGACGGATTTGGCAATCCTAGGTAGAAGATATAGGACAATTAAAACAAGGACAAACAGATTAAAAAAACAGTTTTTATTCGAGAGCTATTATTGCTTTAAATGCTGTATGAAGTTGGAATTTGGGTGACATTGGTGGTTTAAGTTGCAATGTGAACTTTAAGGGAGTTATGGGATGGTTGTGAATGGTTGTGTGAGTGTATATGAGTATGGCTGTAGATCACTGAAATGATTGCACCTTTAATTTCATTGTACTATGTACAATGACAATATAGTATATTATTATTATTATTATTATTATTATTATTATTATTATTATTATTTTTAAAACTATGAAGGGATATGAAGATGTCAGTAAAATTATTTTTGGAATAATTTTATAACAAAAAATGCTTCACTCTTACAATTTCTACAAGAAATATGAAGCTGAAATGTAATACACGTGTAGTCCAAGATAGCCTGAATATTTTTATTTTGAAGTTTGAAACTAGGATATTTCTACAGATTCCACTTTTATGAGACGTGTAGGGTACCTTTGAATAGTTGCGATTGCATTGTCAGAGAGTTAACCAGCCTGAGGTGGCAACCTGAGAAAGGGCTTTCTTGGCCATGGCAGTGAAACTTTGGAACTCCTTCCCCCGGAAGATTTGTCTGTATCCCTCTGTTATTGTCTTCCAGCAGCAGATGAAGAAAACTTTTGAAAACTCACACCCTGAAAATCTAGTTGCTCTCTAAGGTCCTACAGGACTCAAATCTAGCTATTCTACTGCAGACCAAACCTTCTGAAACATGTAAGATAAAGACAGTACAAAGACAGTACAATAATCTAATAATGCCTTATGAAGGTAGAAGAAAAAAAGAAAGCGGCCTAAAATTTTCAGAGGCAGTTTAAAATTCCTTTCATTACTTTATTATTACTTTTATAGAAAGTGCCATCCTGCACAAAGAGTTCCAATTATCTCTTTTCTAAATTGTGTGCACAGAATTTGTCTAGTGCTATGTGCTGAAGGGGGAAAGGGGTGATAGGTGAAGAGATTAGAGGATACATTCTTTCCTCAAATTTCAGTGTGTGCCAACATTTTCTCTGACATGCAATTGAAAATCATGGTCCTTTCTGCTGCCTCTGATTGGGGTCCCAGTTGATGTGCCCAACGCTCAACTTTTTAAAAAAAGGTTGGTCTAGATGTTGAAAACAATGTCAGACCTTTTGTGCTAGAGGGAACAAAGGATGAAGAGCAAAGGAACACTGTGCTTTGAACACTGTCCTTTTCATTTCAAGTCTTTCAACACTATGTTTTAATCTTACAGAACCAAGCTGAAGAGAACATTAATGGTGCAAAGGCATTTATGGGCCAGAGATTGGAGAAGATAGGGCAAAGATGTGGACTGCTATGGCTAAATACTTGCTAAGGATCAAAGTCCATCAAGACTATCTTCATACTCTGCTGCAAACACAGAAGGGCAAAAGCATTCATCAAAAGCATTTCTCCCTGAGTAGGAGGCCTTGGCAACATTCAGCTGGGACAGCACAGGCTGTTCAGACCTTCAACGCAGGTGCACCCATCCGGAAAGTGGAAGCTCTGGATAAGAACCAGTTTGTCTGTGTTCATTGGGAAGACGGGAGTCAGAGCCTTTATCCTTCTGTGTGGCTACGAGACAATTGCCAGTGCCCTGACTGCTTTTTGCACTCTGCTAAGGCCCGTAAATTACTACTTGAAAATCTGGATGTCAATATTGAGGCAAAAGATGTCACTTTGACAGAACAAAAAAAGGTAACTTTTTGTTTTATCAGAAAAAGAAGATAATGTTTTCACATTATAAAATATGAAATGAAAAACATACAATAATTTCACTGTGTTCATGATAATACTTAAAACTTCTTATTTCTTGCACAAATTGTCTTCAGATTTAAGACACTGTTAGTGGGGAAAAAACGTCAGGCACTTTAATGACACGAAGACTTTTCTGACTCTTCACCCCCCAAAGCCAACAAAGCAAATAACATGCCTGCCAGATTTTTTTTGTATAAGTAAGTTTACTTTAGGCTGTTTTCAGTATATTTTTTTGTTGACTAAGGTATACATTATATGGCCAGACAACCACACCAGTGAATTTGAGGCTGAATGGTTGAAGAAGAGATGTTTTTCTGAGCAAGCGAGAGCAAAAATACAAGAAGAATTATTTCTATCAGGTAAGGATTCATACCAGCTCTATGGAAAATTTATTAAAGCGGAAGGGTTCTTACTAGAAGAGGACTTCACTAACAACATTAATATTGTTGTTTTTGTTGATAAGTTGTTTATTTACTTCATTTCTCACGGAAACTCAAGGCAGAATGCAAAATTCAAAAGCAAAAGATGCAGTAAAAACTGTATAATACATAAAATAAAATGGAAGGCAACTGCCTATTAAACTTACAACCAGTGTTCCCTCTAAGCTGAGTTAGTGTGAGCTAGCTCACAGTTTTTTAGCCTCCAGCTCATACATTTTTGTCCAAGCTCAAGAAGTATGGCTCCAGTGCAAACTAATTTATGCAGTAACCAAATTGCTCGCTCACAACCTTAATGCCAGTTGCTCACAAAGTAGAATTTTTGCTCACAAGACTCTAAAGCTTAGAGGGAACATTGCTTACAACCTATTCCCTTTGTAAGAAAGCCCTCCGAAACAACTTCTTTTATATATTCTATGGAATGAAGAAAGTGTGGAAGCTTTCCTGCCTTTGTCAAGCAGGCCATTCCATCAAGCAGGGGCAGAGTGGAAGGAAAAAAATATGGAGGGAGGAAGATCCAAGCCTTCAGCCCAACAGGACTTTTCCAGGTGGCTTTAATGGCCAGTCTGCTCCTGCCACCAAGTGCTTTAAAGTATTGGAAGTTCAGTAAAAGCTTTGATATACAGCACTCATGAAATGTGAGGGTTGGCTGTAAATCAAAACTGCCATATACTCAAGCCTCTTGCTTTGCCCTGCACCCTACCCAGAGGAATCTATAGTAGAGTTACCAGGCTGAGCAGGAGGGTTGGGGGCGGGGGCATGGGGGCATGCGACTTTGGCAACATCACTGATGCCACTAATGGGTTTAATGAAGAAGTGACAATAGGTAGCTCTAGGAATCACTGAGGCAGTTCCAGGAATTCCTAGTGCTACCCATTATCACATCTGGGTTGTACCCAGAAGTGATGTACCAGTGCTAGGGTTGCCAGCTCCAGGTTGGGAAACTCCTGAAGACTTGGGGGTAGAGCCTGGGGAGGACAGGGACCTCAGTGGGTACAATGCCAGAGTCCACCCTCTAAACCATTCATTTCCTCCGGGGAAACTGATCTCTGTAGTCTGGAGATAAGCTGTGATTCCGGGGGATCCCCAGGAGGCTGGCACCCCTAACCAGTACAGAGGTGGCAGCGATTTTTGCTTAATTTTTCTCCTGCTGCTGCTCAGCAGGCAACAGAGGAGATCAGCAGGAGGCCTGGCAACCCTAATTCGCAGCAGCTCAACCTCACCATGGTTGCAACCCACACACACACACACATACACACACACAGAGTGATAGCCCCTAACCAGGGAACCATCCTATATAGCATGCAAACAAGTGGCCCAGCGGCCTGGGAACTCTCCAGCAGTGCTGGCTCCCAACAACTCAAGGCAGGCTGAAGGGGAGGAGGCACCTTGGCTGTCAGAAACCTGACAATGGACAGAGGTATACATCGGGCCAGCCTAGAAGCAATAGTGGCATGCACATGCCCTTGGGTGATAATGACTGACTAAATGTTTTGGATAATCCAGTGCAGGAGAACAAAGGTTTTCTGTACTTCATTGTGACAAGCCGTTCCTACCTACTGAGGGGACTCACACAGCCTCTTACGATTTTGGGGAACCAGGTTTGCCTTCCCTACAGTTACCAGGTGTTCCTAAGGTACTAAGTGTATAGGAGGAATGGGTTTGCTGCCGTGAGATTCGTTTTGTGGTGCGTAAGTAGAATACAAAAATCATATATATATATAAACGACACAGAAGATTTATTTATTTACAGGTTGGCTTCAAAAAACAGATCAGCAGCACAGGTCTCCAGATAGGCAAAGGAGGAGAGGCACATACAATTAAGCTAGTTATAGCTTCAAAGCATGGTTTGAATTTTCTTTAATACTTTCTGGAACAAACAGGCTTTTCCTGAATAATCACTACATTCAGGGGTCATTTCGTAGAAAAAGAGCTAGCATATGCCAAACCCCCTGACATCACCGGAAGTGTGTCCTCCCCACAGCCGGCGGCGACCTCCAGCGGGCACCAGCAGGGAGCTCCAGGCCCCGCCCTCCCGCACCTCACCCGGGGGGATAGCGTCCCCCCCGCGTCCCCCCCCAAATGATCCCTGACTACATTTGATCCTCTCTCACACACAGGATTCCACCCACACCACTCTGTCCTTTCCCAAGAGTCAGACTAAATGGTACAAAGTCTGCTCATTACCAGAGACAGGCCTAACAATCGGGTTCTCCATTCTCTCCCAAAAGTAGAGCTAAACCACTCTGCCATACTACCAAGCAGGGATACCCTTCACTCCGCCTGCTCGTTTTCTGAGCCAGACCTGAGTGATCACTGCACTCTGTCCCTGAGGCGGAACTGAACTCCACTCCTGCTGTGTTTTCCTCCAACATTCCATCCTGCAGATAAAGGTAGGTTGGTTGCTGGATGGGAAAGAGATAGGATTGCCAATTCCAAGTTAGGCAATTTCTAGAGATTTGGGGGATGGAGCCTGGGGAGGGGGGGCAAGGGAGGGACCTCTGAGGGATATAATGACATAAACTCCACCCTCCAAAGCAGCCATTTTCTCCTCCTAGGGTTGCCAGTGGGGGCTGGAGATCAACCCGAATTTCAACTGCTCTCCAGATGACACAGATAATTTCCCCTAGAGAAAATGGCTGCTTTGGAGGGTGGATTATATGGCATTATACCCTGCTGAGGTTGTTACCTTCCCCAGAGCTCACCCTTCATCCCCATATCCAGGAATCTTTCAGCCTGGAACTGGCAATCCCTAACCGGGTACCGGTCTATGTCTTTGGGGAATCTGTTATTCAAGGATATCTCCAGGCCAATGTTCCCTCTAAGCTGAGTTAGTGTGAGCTAGCTCACAGTTTTTCTGCCTCCAGCTCACACATTTTTGTCTCAGCTCAGGAAGGATGGCTCCAGAGCAAACTAGTTTATGCAGAAGCCAGATTGCTCACTCACAACTTTAATGCCAGCAGCTCACAAAGTAGAATGTTTGCTCACAAGACTCCACAGCTTAGAGGGAACATTGCTCCAGGCCCCACCTAGAGGTCAGCAATCTAGAGGGAAAGAAGGAAGCAGGAAAAGGGTAGAGGCTATAGGGGCTTTAAGGAAGTAAAACAGATAATAGTGGTGGAGGGTGAAATAAGATGCCTCCTACAAGTGCTTGCGAATTCCCACTTGTCTGTATACCAGGGATGGCCAAACTGCAGCTTGGGAGCCGCATGCAGCTCTTTCATACATATTGTGCGGCTCCTGGCAGGGCAGCTGGGGAAGCGAAGGGGAGGCATGCCTCTCCAATCAATCTTCCCTTCCGCAGCCAGTGTTCCCCTCCCTGGGTAGGCTTGAGCTGGGGGGGTGGAGCAGAGAAAGAAAGCAACTTTAACTTTAAATGCATTCTCATCCCACCCACCCCTCCAGCCGGCTTGGAGAAGGGGTGTGTCTCTCTAAACCCCTTCTCCAAGCCAAGCCAGAAGGGTGGGGGCTTGGAGGATGTCTTGTGGCTCTCAAACATCTGATGTTTATTCTATGCAGCTCTTACATTAAGCAAGTTTGGTCACCCCTGCTATATACTAATAGCCAAGCCAGCCAAATCTTTGGATACTTAAATCCGATAACTGGAGTTGTGGGGGGGAAATCAGAGAGTTTTAAAAACCTGGAAATGATAAATTATATAGCTTTAAGCAGCAGATTTCCTCAGTGGCTGTTGCTAGGCAACCTCAGTATTCCAGGCTGGGTTTTTGTGAGTAAAAAGCCAGATGGAGAGGGCAGAGTCCTTTCCAGGCCTGTTCTGGCCTTTCCAGGACAACTGGGGCCAGGCCTCACTAGGATTTCCAGCTCCAAGTTAGGAAATCTTGGAGATTTTGTGGTGGTGTAGAAGGAGGGCAGGTTTTGGGGAGATGAGAGTCCTCAGCTGAATATAATGCCATAGATTCCACCATCCAGACTAGCGATTTTCTCCTGGGGAATTGATCTCTGTCATCTGCAGTTCAGTTGTAATTTTGAGAGATCCCCAGGTCCCACCTGGAGTTTGGCAACCCTAGGACTGGAAGCAACCTCTGGGTGACCTGATACCATAAAAACATAAGAAGAGCCCTGTTGGATCAGACCAGTGGTCCATCTAGTGCAGTATCCTGTCTCACACAGTGGCCAACCAATTCCTCTGGAGGGCCAACAGCAAAGAGGCCAACACTTTCCCCTGGTGTTGCCATTGGGATTCAGATGTTGACTGCCTCTGAATGTGGAGGTTCCCCCTCAGTCGCCATGACTAGTAACCTATCCTCCATGAATCTATCTATTCTCCTTTTAAAGCTCTCTATTCCTTTGGCTGTCTCTGCAACTTCTGGCAGCAAATTCCACATTTTAATCACTCGTCGTGTAAAGAAGCATTTCCTTTTGTCTGTCCTGAATCTATTGTCCATCAGCTTCATTTGATGCCCTCGAGTTCTAGTATTTTGGAAGAGGGAGAAAAAGTTCTCTTTGTCAACTCTCTCTACCCTACACATAATTTTATAAACCTCTCTCATGCCCCCCCTTAATCATCCATTTTCTAAACTAAAAAGTCCCACTCTTCAGCCTTTCCTCATAGGAAAGGTGCTCCAGCCCTCTAATCATCTTGGTTGCCCTCTTCCTTACTTTTTCCAGCTCTGTGATCTCCTTTTTTAGACAAGGTGACCAGAACTGTACACAACATTCTAAATGAAGCCGTGTCATAGATCTATAAAGGGGCATTATCATTAGGGATGGGCATGAAGTGGGAAAATGTGGTTCGTTTCATGGCATGCTGGGTTTGCGAACCACAAACTGTCATGAACTTTTAGTTGCCAAACAAACCGATTTGGTTTGTGATGCCATAGAATGGCCCTTCTGGCATGCTGGAGACACCAAACTTAAAGGGGTCTCCAGCTGACTCTCCTCTACCTGCCCTCCAAGTCTGG